GGCGGGGCGGGGGAGCACAATGGAGTGGGGAGGGAGGGCGCGTGGGGGGGGCCTGACGGCGCGCGAGGAGGAGGAGGTCGGGCGGGCGCATGCGCGGGGATAGAATGGAGAAATGGCCAGAGCTAGCCAGCGGCCTAGCTTTTTTGCGGCCTGTTTGCCGAGTGTCGGCCCGATACGACACTCGGCAACGTTTTTTTTAAATCCCATTAGTTTGCCGAGTGTCGGCCGATGGCGCACTCGGTAAACTACTTAAAAAAATCTAAACGCCTAGTTGCCGAGTGCCGTGACGATTGGGCACTCGGCAAACATTTTTTTAAAAAAAAGTGCCCTCCAGTTTTCCCTATTTAAAAAAATCCCTGTTCTCCCTTAACAAGAAATTTTAAAAAAAGTTTATTACATTTTTGCCGAGTGCCACCTATGCAGCACACGGCAAACTTATTTCTACATTTCATGCTGCCCTTTTATTTCCTCTACTTAATTACTTTCCTCTATTTTATGTTTCACTAACTTCATGAAATGAACTTGCATTACACTTTGTTAGGTGCACTCACAAATGTATATTTCAAGCTTGTACAAAAATTGGACTATTATTTCATGTGTTTGTATATCACGCATCTAAAATTCAATAATTGCGATGAAAAAATTAAAATTACGAAATGGCTCTGAAAAATTGCCAAAAATTCACAAGAAGCGATATTTGTTCTCTATTGTATATAAAAAAAATTTGAAGTGGAACTCCAAATCGACATTCAAATTGTCTCCTCATCTTACCGGATCTTTCTCAAATCTCAGAAAACTTCTCCGGAGATGATCCGATTTGTAAACAGCGTACATGTCAACTTTGCCGAAACACTCTCAATTTTTTACCATAGCCTCCACGTATGATATCATGACAACTCGACGAATTTCGTGATTTTCAGACTTCGTTTGTTTTTTATATAATTTTTAGACTTTTCCGCCACGCATTACTGCTCATGTTTCGCGAACACAATGTTCGAAATTTCTGGTCTGACCCTGGATACGGTCTCAAAACAGACTCAGTGACAAGAATATCATTTTTTTATTCACTTTTTTCGGATATTCGAAGCACTTGCAGTTCAAAACAAAAAAATTACCAAAATTCATTTGACTAAAATAAATTGACGAAATATAGTAAAATAACTTAGAAATGTACAAAACTTCAACACAGAGCAACAGGTACTGTAAGACAACAGTACAAAAAGTTTGGGGGGGCAAAATAAAAAAAAAATGTTTGCCGAGTGTCATATGCTGACACTCAGCATATATCAGGATTTGCCGAGTGTTGTATTTTGACACTCGGCATATAGGATCGTCTGCCGTGTGTTAATGGGTGACACTCGGCAAAATGATAACGGAGGTCGACGGTGTTACCCTGGACATGAATTTGTGTGTCTGTTTTTTCCCGAGTGTCAGCACTCAACGTAAACTGTTATGCCGTGAGTTGTGTTTTTGCCGAGTGTCGTCTTTGGGACACTCAGCAAACACCACGTTTGCCGAGTGCCCGAAATCTTGCCCACGGCAAAGGCGGGGACACTCGGCAACTTAAGTGTTTCCGCTAGTGAAAGTTTTTATTTTTTTCTAATAAATGCTCAAAATGCATAATTAAATTATTTTCTCCTATTTTAAAATTATGCAAATTTTAAGGTGTTACAAAAAAACTGCCCGTGTAAATCCTAGATCTACACTTGGGGTCACACCTAAGCTAATTGTCAGTATAGATATATTTTACACTAGCGGTTGTGATTTACCCTTTGTGGTTTTCTTAAACCTACCTGCACTGATGGTTCATAACCATGGGCCCACTCTTCTCTTTCTATTGACTCCTAGTCTTTATGAATCGTCTATGAAAAAAAACTAGACGTCAGCCAAAAAAAAAACTATTTTTGTATTAGTGAAAGGGGCCCATATGTCATAGGCTCTTGCAGAATTAATTTTATAAACATGTGCCATTCATACGGGCTCCAAAATAAAGTGTCACGCAAATATTGATGCTACTTTAATTGATCCTAACATATTTCTTAGTAAAAATAATCATCAAACACTCAGCACATGATGAATTTTCCCCCACCCTACATACCCAAGACTGTCGGTCTATCTTGAGGTCGTCGACAGGCATCAACTTCAGAGTTCGCAGACCGTGCTAGATCCGTTGGGGAGTGGAGTGGAGCCGCCTTTCCCTTTGTTTCAACATATGACTGTTTCCGCACCAGTACCCAACAAGACAATGGTCATCAGTTCCAGAACACCGTTTTAGACCCGTTAGTGCTTATTTCCCCGGTCTGTGATAATGATATATAGAGCTGTCCTGAAATATTGGCCGGTGCTCGTCGATACGACGGCTCTGACCACTATCGGGCACGGGAAAAGGACAGGAAACAAGAGGAAGGCACTGCGAATCCATCTAGGGGATCATAAGGGACTACGACGGCACGGGGACGAGCTAGAGCTCGGTATGGCGGATCGGGTTCGTCGGAGATCAACGGTGACACGGATACAAACACAGAAGGCAAGGGAGAGGGCATGAGAGACACCCGCAGGTTACTCACCTTCTTGCGGAGCTTGGAGATGCGATCGTGGCGGCGGCGGAGCGGCGAATCGCCCTCGGCGGCGGATCTCCTGCGGCTCTGCTAGGGCTCTGAGTCGTACGGCTGGCTCGCGACTTCTATGAGGAGGCGGCGCGGGCGCGATTGCTACTTATAAGGGTGGTGAGGCTTGCGGTGCACGCACATCGGTGCGGAGTCGGGGCGAGCGCGGACTCCCGGCTGGAGTCGTGGCCGGCTCGGACATGAGCGCGAGGTGGAAGACACGCGGCTGACAAGTGGGCTCAGGTTGTCAGCGACAGGCGAGAGGGGAAAGGGCGCGGGCGACTGCGCTGGCTGCGGCTTGCTTTGCTGGGCCGCGCGAGGAAACAAAGGGAGCGAGGCGGCCCAAGAGCAAGAGAGAGGCGCGGGGCCTGCGCTGAGGAAGAGCGGGCCAACGACTGGACCATCAGGCCGAAAGCAAGGGAGGGGAGATAAAATCATTTTCCTTTTTCTTTTCTAATTTTCCAAACTAATTTAGAAATACAAATTCAAATCAATTTGAAGTTTGATTTCAAACCACACAATTCAAAAATAATAAGCAGCAGCATGAGTGCATTGAAATGTACGTAGACCTATATTTGATTTTAATTTTTTACAAAGTTTTTATTTTTTTCTAATAAATGCTCAAAAAATACATAATTAAATCATTTTCTCCTATTTTAAAATTATGTAAAATTTTGGGAGTTACAAAAACTGATCGTGTAAATCCTAGATCTACACTTGGGGTCACACCTAAGCTAACTGTCAGTATAGATATATTTTACACTAGCGGTAGTGATTTACCCTTTGTGGTTTTCTTAAACCTACCTGCACTGATGGTTCATAACCATGGGCCCACTCTTCTCTTTCTATTGACTCCTAGTCTTTATGAATCGTCTATGAAAAAAAACTAGACGTCAGCCAAAAAAAAACTATTTCTGTATTAGTGAAAGGGGCCCATATGTCATAGGCTCTTGCAGAATTAATTTTATAAACTTGTGCCATTCATACGGGCTCCAAAATAAAGTGTCACGCAAATATTGATGCTACTTTAATTGATCCTAACATATTTCTTAGTAAAAATAATCATCAAACACTCAGCACATGATGATTTTTCCCCCCACCCTACATACCCAAGACTGTCGGTCTATCTTGAGGTCGTCGACAGGCATCAACTTCAGAGTTCGCAGACCGTGCTAGATCCGTTGGGGAGTGGAGTGGAGCCGCCTTTCCCTTTGTTTCAACATATGACTGTTTCCGCACCAGTACCCAACAAGACAATGGTCATCAGTTCCAGAACACCGTTTTAGACCCGTTAGTGCTGATTTCCCCGGTCTGTGATAATGGTATATAGAGCTGTCCTGAAATATTGGCTTGAACACATCTGTAATGATGCAATGCAAGGGCGGTAACCAATCACTTTTGACTGAAGAAACCTGAACCCATCTCGGTACTCCCTTCATATGAAACTGCAGCTGGATCAGTAAATCCGGTATCTCTGCTGTGGCTCAAAGACTTTAGCAGCCATGCTGCTCTTCACAAGCAGATGCCGCCTCCTCCAGCTGTTACTGTTAGTGCTCTCCACCACCACAACTAACCGTGCAACTGCTTCCTCATCTTCATCCATGGGCCGCGAGGTAAGAGCCTGTACGACTGGTATTAAAGTCGATTGAAGCTGTTTTGTTATGAGAGAAAAATACTATAGATTCTAGCTGATAAGTCGGCTGATAAATTCAAACGAACAAGCCCTAACTCTTCTCGATTTCAAGGCCAATATCCCCTGCCACTCCGGCGTGCTGGACTGGACTCGTGGAACTAGAGCACCCGCTACCAGGGTTTTCTCTACGGGTATTTTTTAAATCTCAGTGGTCACCGATAAATAGAAATATCGGATATATCAGATATTTATCGGCAATAAAAAACTTTCACACAAAATTTACAAAAATTGGTTATTTTTGTCCAGGAAACCATGTATATCATTTTAGATAAAAAAAACAAAAATGAATCCATACTATAACCTATAGTACAAAGAACCCTTTTCACCGCACACGGTCGTCTGGATGATTGGACTATAAACTATATGTCCCTTAGCAACGCTGACATTTTTCTAGTATATCTGATGGAGGAAAGGTTCCGCTAACCAACTCATTTAGTGGAGAAATGGACTTGGCGAATGACCCATAAACAGAATTTGACTAATCAATACGACCTTTTTGACTGGACTTGCTACTTGATGGAATAATGGCACGCGCGTGCATAGAGCACAAGCACAGCTGCCCAAGTTGTGAAGTGTTGACGCACTCTGCATGCTATTTATGAAACCCTTGACTTCCTGAGCGCACAATGCTACTAGCTACCAGAGGCAAGGAGACCATTCTCTGTACTGGCTCAAATCCCTCCGCACCTAGCAGCCTAGCTATGATGTTCCTCCAGCTGCTTTTGCTGCTCTCCGCCATAGCAACCAACTGTGCAAGTGCAGCCGCTACCGCTTCCTTGCCAAACCATAATGGTGACGAGGGAGCTCTTGTGGCTTTCAAGGCCAAGATCTCCGGCCACTCAGGCGTGCTGGACTCGTGGAACCAGAGCACCAGCTACTGCATCTGGGAGGGCGTCACCTGCGGCAGGAGGCACCCGTGGAGGGTGGTAGCCCTGAACCTCAGTTCCCAGGGGCTCGCCGGCACCATCTCCCCCGCCATCGGCAACCTCACCTTCCTGCGCTTGCTCAACCTGAGCTACAACAGCCTTCACGGTGAGATCCCTGCCAGCATCGGCTCCCTCTGGCGCCTTCAACGCCTTTACCTGGTCCAAAACACGCTCACTGGTGTCATCCCAAGTAACATCAGCCGCTGCATCAGCCTCCGTGAGATCCGCATCCAACACAACAAAGGCCTGCAGGGAAGCATCCCAGCCGAGATTGGCAACATGCCATCGCTCTCAGTTCTACAGCTGTCAAACAACAACATCAGCGGAACTATCCCGTCTTCTCTTACGAACCTTTCCCGGCTGACCATGCTATCCTTGGCAGACAACTATCTTGAGGGATCGATCCCTGCAGGCATCGGGAACAATCCGTATCTCGGTTTCCTTCGGCTCACCCTTAATAATCTCTCCGGTCGGCTCCCTCCTTCCCTATTCAACCTGTCATCTCTTTATATCTTTTATGCGGCTTTCAACCAGCTCCATGGCCATCTACCATCTGACCTGGGGAAAAACCTTCCGAGCATCCAACAGTTTGGGATTGCAGGAAACCGATTTACTGGAGCTCTTCCGCCATCGCTAACCAACCTCTCCAGGCTCCAGCTTCTTGACTTGGGAACTAATAATTTTACTGGAGTTGTTCCTGCTGAATTGGGCAGATTGCAACAACTTGAAGTGTTTGCTCTGGAAGATAACATGTTAGAGGCAAACAACGAGGAAGAGTGGGAATTTATTGGTTCTTTGGCGAATTGTAGCAGATTACAGCACCTGTCCATTGGATGGAACAAGTTTTCAGGGAAGCTGCTGCCGGGTTCTTTGGCTAATTTGTCCACTAATCTCCAGTGGCTACAGATTTCAAGCAACAACATATCCGGTGTCATCCCATCAGATATTGGAAATTTGGCAGGTCTTGAGGTGCTTGATTTTGGTGAAAACTTACTCACTGGGGTCATTCCTGAAAGCATCGGGAAGCTTACACGATTGCAGGTGCTAGGCCTCAATTCAAACAACCTCTCAAGACATCTACTATCCTCCATCGGGAACCTGTCTAGTCTACTTCAGCTTTATGCAGGCGGCAATAGCTTGGAGGGGCCAATTCCACCAACCATTGGAAACTTGAGCAAACTTTTAGCCCTAGGTCTGTCATATAACAACCTTACTGGCTTGATTCCTAACCAAATTATGGAGCTGCCATCGATCACAATGTTTCTGGATCTGTCCAACAACATGCTTGAGGGACCACTTCCGTTAGAAGTTGGTAGTTTGGTACATCTTGAACAGCTCTTCCTATCAGGAAACAAACTGTCAGGTGAGATACCTGATACTATTGGCAACTGCAGGGTCATGGAAATCCTCTCAATGGATGGCAACTCCTTCCAAGGAAATATACCTGCTACGTTCAAGAACATGGCAGGCTTGACTGTACTTAATTTGACGGACAACAAACTAGATGGAAGCATCCCTGGTAACCTGGCTACCCTTACCAACCTACAGGAGTTGTATCTTGGCCACAACAATTTATCCGGAACAATCCCAGAGCTTTTAGGAAATTCAACATCGCTGCTTCGTCTAGATTTGTCCTACAACAGTTTGCAAGGTGAAGTACCAAAAGGAGGAGTTTTCAAAAATTTGACTGGACTATCAATTGTTGGTAACAATGCATTGTGCGGGGGGGATACCACATCTCCATCTGCCAAAATGCTCAAGCTTTCATGGAAGAAAGAATAGCAAAGGCATACCCAAGTTTCTTCTAATAACAATCCCAACAATAGGAAGTCTCATCTTGCTTTTTCTGGTTTGGGCTGGATTTCACTACAGAAAGTCCAAGACAGCACCGAAGAAAGATCTACCACCACAATTTGCAGAGGCAGAGCTTCCAATAGTTCCGTACAATGATATACTGAAAGGAACAGATGGATTTTCAGAAGCAAATGTGCTTGGAAAGGGAAGATATGGTACAGTATACAAGGGCACACTAGAAAATCAAGCCATTGTCATCGCCGTAAAGGTGTTTAATGTCCAGCAATCAGGATCCTACAAAAGCTTCCAGGCTGAATGTGAGGCACTAAGAAGAGTGAGGCACCGATGCCTTCTAAAGATCATTACATGTTGTTCTAGCATCAACCACCAGGGTCAAGACTTCAGAGCACTAGTCTTCGAGTTCATAGCTAATGGCAGCTTAGATAGATGGATCCACTCAAATTTAGAAGGCCAAAATGGACTAGGAGCACTCAGCCTGTCACAGAGGTTGGATATTGCTGTGGATATTGTGGATGCTTTGGACTATCTTCACAACGGTTGCTAGCCATCAATCATCCATTGCGATCTCAAGCCAAGTAACATTCTTCTCAATCAGGACATGAGAGCTCGTGTAGGAGATTTTGGCATTGCTAGAGTTCTAGATGAAGCACCAAGCAACCATCCTGTGAATTCCAGTAGCACCACAGGAATAAGAGGTTCCATTGGATATATTGCTCCAGGTAACTCAAGCTTTTTTCTGTTTCATGCTACAAATAATACTAATCAATATGTGCTTCAGCGTGGTTAAAAAATAAGTCAGAAATTCATGGATAATTGGGTTAGAGCTCAATACAATTGCTTATCTTTGCTCTTTCCCATTTGCTCATATGTTTGCCTATAGTTTGAATCTTAGCTTCCGCTATGCGTTGGACATGGAAACGGGCATATTCAATGCTTCCCTCAAACATGTACCCATCGCCTGCATAGTGAGACACATCATGCCTTTATATCATAAGTGGATAACTTGGAAAATTTATATGGTTAATTTTTAGATAGTTTTTATAAAATAACAACAGATGTATGCTATTAGATTCAGACTCAGGATTACTTTAAAATGTTTATAATAACAGTACAAGTGCGTAATTCAGAAGCAAATTTTAATGGTTATTACTACATGTAAATTTTCATGTTGGTGTTATGGATAATTTTGATGAAGATGAGGGGTTGTGTTAAGTTAGTTTTCGCAATGTCATATGTTGGTAATTTAAATATACTAGATAGAAATAGTCATTTAAGAATGTTCTTATAATGGGAGAGGTGTGTATTTTTAGAAAGCACAATATATCAAATGCATATTATTTTTGAGAGAACATCTCGAATTTATTTTTAGTTATGTCTCGCCTTGTGAGCACTAGTGTGGAAGCTCCAATAGCATTATCCAATTACTAGTAGTAAGACACACATCATGTAGTCTTTGAGTTTTATACATATATACTTATGTATCCTCATATTTCATTTCACTACAGAATATGGAGAAGGGCTTGCGGTGTCAACTTCTGGAGATGTGTTTAGTCTTGGCATCACTTTGATCGAGATGTTCACAGGGAAGAGCCCGACCGATGATATGTTTAAAGATGGGATAAGCTTGCATTATTATGCCGAGGCAGCTCTTCCTGACAAGGTTATGGAGATAGCAGATTCCAACATCTGGCTGCATGATGGAGTAAACAATGGCAATGATACAAGGCATATAACAAGAACTAGGGAATGTTTGGTGGCCATCATTCAGCTTGGTGTCCTTTGTTCAAAACAATTGCGCAGGGAGCGACTGTCAATGAACGATGCTGCTGCAGAGATGCATGCTATCAGAGATAAATATATTTTTACTCAATAATAAAGTGATGTTATTAGTTCATATTAATCACCACTACCTTATACTATCATGTTTCTCTAAATGTATTGTTGAAGTCTATATTATATATTTGCTTCTCTTTTTCCAGCTATAATATCTCCTTTTATTAATATATCAACCCACGCCACCTGGTCATTCTAAGGTCTTGTTTGGATGCACATATATTTATCTCAATCCACATATGTTGAAGTGGATTGGAGTGGAACTAAACTAAGTTCCATTTCATCTAGTCCAACACATATAGATTAAAGTGGATACAAATGCATGCAAACAAGGCCTAATTGCAAATTGCAAACCAACGGTCCATTCCAGCATGAACCTTGGTCGCAAACTGCAGTCTCCAGCATATATAGACTACGAAGACGACACAACAGGCAGCAGGCATATATTATACAGAATGATTAGTCACAGAGCGTGAGCTGTGAGCGTATCATAGTCAGCCAATGCAAAGAAACCAAGCTCTGTGCCGACACGTAAGAAATCAAAATCCATCGCCGCCGGCCATGCTGCCCCTAAGACTAAGAGCCTGCAGCTGCAGGCGCCTGCTGCAACTGCTCCTGCTGATCTCGGCCGCAGCGACAACCAGTGCAGCAGCAGCAGCCTTGTGTTCCTCAGGCCATGGCGACGACGAGGGAGCTCTTCTTGCATTCAAGGCCAAGATCTCCAGCCACTCTGGTGCGCTTCTTGCGTAGCTTCAATTTAATCAACGATGCCTTCATGATTCTCCTCAAAAAGAAGAATGAAGCCCAGGAGATCAGAGACTACCGCCCAATCAGCCTAATGCATAGCTTTGAAAAGCTTATTGCCAAATGTCTTGCCCGTCAGCTTGCTCTGGTGCTCAATGATCTGGTGCATCCTGTTAGAGCGCGTTCATCCAGGGATGGTCCATACATGATAATTTCCACGCCGTTCACCTGACCTGCAAGACCGTGCACCAGAAGAAGCGTAGTTGCCTCCTCCTCAAGATCGATCTTGCGAAAGCCTTCGACTCCGTCTGTTGGCCTTTCCTTTTGGAGGTCCTACAACGGCTCGGCTTCAGTCAGCGGTGGAGGGACTAGATGTTTATCCTCCTTGGATTGACAAGCACCAAGGTCCTCCTCAACGGCAGACCGGGCAACCGCATCTGCCATGCCAAAGGCTTGCGGCAAGGTGACCCCTTGTCCCCGATGTTGTTCGTCCTAGCTATGGAGGTGCTTGGCGGACTCATCCGTAGTCGATCTTCTCACCTCTCCGGTGTGCCGCGGTGCGTTCACGGGTGACGCTATATGCGGACGACGTCGTCATGTTCATTACGCCAGAGGTGAACAACATTGTCGCCATCAAAACCATCCTGCAGATCTTCGGCGATGCGTCGGGTTTGTACACAAACTTGGACAGGTGTGTCGCCAACCCGATTGCCCGTTCACAAGAGGAGCTTCAACTGGTTGAGAACATGCTGTCCTGCACAATCGGAGCCTTTCCATGCAAGTACTTGGGCATCCCTCTCTCTACTCGCAAGCTGCGCCGGAGCGAGGAGCAATTCCTCATTGACGCCGTCGCGGCGCGTATTCCGCTCTGGAAAGGTCATCTCATGAACACTACGGGTAGGGTGGCGTTGACACAGGCGACGCTCTCGGCCATCCCGGTACACCTCTCCATTGTCGTGTGCCTGTCGCCATGGGCGGTCGACCGCATCGATAAGCTACGTCGATCGTTCATCTGGACTAGGTCGGCCACAGTGAGCACGGGCATGTGTCGCGTGGCGTGGGAGGTGGTTTGCTGGCCCAAGGAGCTCGGTGGTCTCGGCATCATCGACCTGCGAAGGTTCGGTCTAGCTCTCAGACTGCGCTGGGATTGGGTGCGGAAGGTTGACACGAACAGAACTTGGATCGACCTTCCGTCGTCGTCAGACAAGGCCACGCATGCCCTCTTTCGTGCAGCAACCATGACAGTGGTCGGAGACGGGAGCTCAACGCTGTTATGGCAAGACTCCTGGATTCATGGGTGCTGTATTGACCAAATTGCACCTGCGGTGTTCGCCTTAGTCCCCCGGGCGAAGGCGAGGATACGGTCTGTGGCGTCGGGTCTGGCTGATCACGCCTGGGTGTCCGACATAACTAGGGCACAAACTGTTCAGGTCTTCCTCCAGTACCTGGACCGCTGGGAGCGGGTTCATGGTGTCCAGCTCATGCCGGGGGTTCCGGACTCCGTCATCTAGCGTTGGTCCGCTGACCACAAGTACTCCGTGGCGTCGACGTATGGTGCGATGTTCATCGGATCGACCTCGCCATTCGGTGCTAAGTTGATTTGGGAGACGCGCGCACCGCCTAAGGTCAGGTTCTTCTTCTGGTTGGCTCTGCATCATCGTTGCTGAACCGCAAATCGGCGGATGCGACATGGGCTGGAGGACAATGACACTTGCATCATGTGTCTTCAAACCTCCGAGACCCTGCTGGGTTATGTCCTCAGCCGTCAAGTTTGGGACATGCTCCTGTCCAAGCTTGGGCTCACAACCGTGGTCGCTCATGGTGACGTCGACCCCTTCCTCTGGTGGACCTGGGCTAGGCGTAGGGTGCCCCGAAGCAGCAGGAAGGGTTTTGATTCACTCGTCATCCTAACCTGCTGGGTGCTTTGGAAGGAACGCAACGCACGGACTTTCAGGAATGAAGCTAAGGACGCTCGTGAGCTGTGTTTGGAGATCCTACAGGAGGCCGCCATGTGGTTGCGGGCTGGGTATTCGACCCTGTCGTCGCTCAGTTCATTCATGTAATTAGTCTCTTGTGTGGTCGCTGCCAGCTTCCTCTGGTTTTTCATTTGCCGCTCTGTTTTATGTTTGTGCAGCTCGTCGGGGCAAACTTTGGTTACCTTCGGTTGGCGTTGTTTGTTTGCATGTTCTCTTTTTCCTCTTAATGAAATATGTGCTACAGTGCATGTTCACAAAAAAAACTCTGGTGCGCTGTCCTCCTAGAACCAGAGCAGCAGCCACTGCAGCTGGGACGGCGTCACTTGCGGCAAGAAGAGACCCATGGGCCATGGCGGGTGGTCGCTCTGAGCCTCAGCTCGTAGGGGCTGGACGGCACCATCTCCCATTCTCCCCTGCCCTCGGCAACCTCACCTTCCCGCGTTCACTCAACCTGACCTTCAACGGACTGCGGGGAGGGATCCAGAGACTTCACCTGATGCAGAACATGCTGGCGGGCCGCATTCCTAGCAACATCAGCCGCTGCACTAGTCTCCGTGTGATCCGAATCAGCCCGCCGAGATTGGCGACATGCCGTCGCTCTCGGTTCTAGAGCTGGCGAACAACAGCATCACCGAAACCGTCCCACCGTCTCTTGGGAACATTTCCCGACTGGCCTCCTTGGCAACTAACTATCTTTAGGGAACAATCCCTGAAGGCATCGGGAACAAACCATATCTCGTCTTCCTTCAGCTCTCCTGCAGTGGCCTCTCTGGTGTGTTTCCTCCTTAATTCCCTTTTACAACCTATCCTCTCTTTATTTCTTTCATATGGCTGTCAACAAGCTCCATGGTCGTGTACCATCTGCCTGGGAAAACACCTCGCCAGCGTCCAAAAATTTGGGATCAGAACTAACCAATTTACTGGAGCTTTTCCACAGTTACTCACTAATCTCTCCGCCAAGCTCCAGATTATTGACATGGGAAACAATAGTTTTACCGGAGTTGTTCCTTCCGGACTGGAGCAGTTTGCGAAAATAGACTGAGCAGAAGTGAAAATGCACATCGGCGTCCACTACCATTCCCAGCAGCAGCGTGAGGCCCGGCCTGCTGGGAGTGGACGAGTGGTAGAGGAAGCCGATGTGCATTTTCACTTCTGCAATCCATTTCCTCAGAGTTGATGATGAGCAACGGACTGAATAATGGCACCATCCTTGGCACCTTAGGCAACCACAATAACTTGTCACGACCAATCCCATAACAGTTAAGTAATTCAACATCACCGCTATGCCTTGATCTATCCTTCACAATTTGCAAGGTGAAGGACCAGAAGAAGGGATTTTCAGAAATCTAACTCGACTGTCAATTGATGGGAACACCACGTTATGTGGTGGAATACCACAGCTTCATCTGCCAAAATGCCCAAGCTCTAGCACAACAAAGAATAAGAAAGGCTTGCCGAAATCTATTAGAATAGCAATACCAACTACAGGAGCTCTGGGCTGGATTTCTTTACATAAAGTCTAAGACAACATCGAAGAAAGAACCACCACCACGATTCCCAGAGATAGAGCTTCTAGTAGTTCCATACAATGATGTACTTAAAGGAACAGATGGATTTTCTGAAGCAAATGTGCTTGGAAAGGGAAGATATAGTACAATATGCAAGGGCACACTAGAAAGGTTGTGAATGTGTTTCATGTACATCAAGCAGGGTCCTACAAAAGCTTCCAGGCTGAATGTGAGGCAGTAAAAAGAGTGAGGCACTGATGCCTAGAAAAAATCATTACATGCTGTTCTAGCATCAACCACCAGGGTCAAGACTTTAGAGCACTAGTCTTTGAATTCATGACTGCTTAGATAGTTGGATCCAGTCCAATTTTGAAGGAGAAAATAGACAAGGAGTCCTCAGCTTGTCACAGAGGTTGGATATCATTGTGGACATTGTGGATGCTTTGGACTACCTTCACAACGGCTGCTAGCCATCCGCTATCCATTGCGATTTAAAGCCAAGCAACATTCTTCTCAATGAAGACACATGAGGGCTCGTGTTAGGGATTTGGCATTGCTAGAGTTAGATGAGCCAACAAGCAAACATGCAATGGCTTCTAATTGCTCAATAGAAATAAGAGGCTCCATTAGATATATTGCTCCAGGTAACTCAAATTTGATGTTCTCCATGTTCTTCACATGATAGTATCTAATTATTAGCTAGCCCTGTGCACATGGCATATCTTCTAACTTCTATGCATGTTTATGTGTGCTCCAAATTACTCCACATCCAAAACTTTTCATTTCAACCTTTGTAGTGATGCAAACTGCAA